GCGGATTTGCAATACAATGCTGTCCATCTTATGCCTTGGCTAACGCGGATATATGATGCCTGTTTAAAATGGTCTTATATACCCGAACCCTGGACCAAGTGCACAGTGGTTTTCATTCCGAAAGGAGGAAAGACCTCTCACACGAAGCCAAAGGATTTTAGACCAATTAGTCTATCCTCCTTTCTTCTCAAAACTTTGGAAAGGATAATTGATCTGCATCTCAGAATACATATCAAACCTGACCATTTATCAGCATCTCAACATGCCTACATGAAGGGAAAATCTGTTGAGACTGCATTACATTCGCTAGTTTGTCACATTGAAAAGACAATAGCGCAAGGGGAATATACACTGGTTGCCTTCTTGGACATCGAGGGGGCTTTCAACAATGTTCACCCTGGGTCGATAACAACGGCCCTAACTGGTCTGGGTATAAACCAACCAATAACAGCTTTCATCAAGAGATTACTGACTCAGCGAATCATTATCTCCGAAATGGGAGCAGCAAATGTCACAAAAGTGGCAAATCGCGGTACCCCACAAGGTGGAGTTCTATCTCCACTTCTGTGGAACCTAGCGTTGAACCCACTTCTTATGGATCTTAGATCTATGGGATTTAAGGTAATAGCATATGCAGACGATGTGTCTGTAGTAGTATCTGGCAAATATCTGGATACTTTATCGCAAAGGATGGAGATTGCACTCAGGACACTTAGTACATGGAGCAACGTCAGTGGCCTTGGTGTTAATCCATCGAAAACGGAACTTGTTCTCTTCACTAAGAAGTACAAGATACCCACCTTCACTCTCCCACGACTGAATGGGATAGAATTGAAGTTATCGGATAGTGCTAAATATCTGGGAGTAATCCTAGATTCAAAACTATCATGGCATTTGAACACTCAATCTAGAGTATCAAAAGCGGCTGCGGCCTTATACTCGTGTAAAAGAGCAATTGGCAAATCATGGGGCATAAACCCCAAGAATACCAAATGGCTCTTCGACATGGTAGTCAAGCCCATACTATTGTACGGTGCACTTGTATGGTGGAAGTCTGTACAAAAGGACTCACACCGCAAACGTTTTGAGGGAATCCTTCGCACATCAGCTCTGTTGATAACGGGGGCTCTCCGCACCACCCCATCAAAGGCTCTCTTTGTCATGATGGGATGGCTACCTATTGATCTAATGGCCCAAGAGGTTGCCCTCAACGCGGCTATTAGACTCAATACAATTGGTATGTGGCATATGATTCAGTCAGGTCACTCCACCATCCTCAATTGTCTAGGAGAAATTCCTGGCAATATCGACTATTGCATCGCCAAACCGTCTTTTGATAGAAGCTTTTCGGTGAATATCCGAGACGACCCAAATGTGATGGAAACAATCCTCCATGATGGATCGTATAAGGTTTTCACTGATGGCTCAAAATCAAACCATGGTGTAGGCGGTGGCTTTTACATAGCACATTCGGGAACGGAAGTATCATTCAAGCTTCCTGACCAATGTAGCGTCCTTCAGGCTGAACTATCAGCCATTAAACGGGCTGCAAACTGGCTCAGGTTTTATCGAATATACGGTGTTAATATTCGAATTTATACCGACAGCCAGGCAGCCCTTAAGGTTCTAAGTGGTGTCTACACGACGTCAAACTTAGTCCTAGAATGCCGGGCATCCCTTAACGAGATGGCGAAACATTCCACAATAGGACTGTATTGGATTCCAGGACATCAGCAAATTCCTGGTAATACCATCGCGGACTCTCTTGCCAAGTTAGGCTCCTCGCTTGCAGGAGAGCATACCGACCCTTTTGTCGGTATACCGCTTTCAACCTGCAAACGCTCGATACGTGAAAAACTATATGAGCTTGCGCAATGCAGATGGTCGACTGAAGCCACCTGTAGACAGGCAAGGATCATGTGGCCATCTTACGACCCACAAAGATCCCAAGCCCTTTTCTACATTCCGAGAGTTAATCTACGGAACTTAACGGCAGTGGTAACTGGCCACTGGCCTTTCGGACTCCATGCAAGAAGACTGAACTTACCCAGTAACGACTTCTGCAGGAGCTGCCAGGATGAAGAGGAAGAAGAGAGTATAACTCACTTCCTCTGTCATTGTCCTGCCCTAGCTGATCACAGAGTGGGTCTGCTAGGTAGCTATTTTCTGCATGACTTAGCGGATCTATCGGAGGTTGATATCCGAAAGATAGATTCCTATATTCGTGCGACAAACTGGTTCGGTGGAAACCAGAGTGATTAGGTTGAAGTGTACTAATACGCTGACCGTTCTCTCTCGTTTCAGGTATCACAAAGGGATCAAAATTCTGGACCCAAGTGTGTCCCCAGTGATGACATCGCGAGGACGACCTGCCTACCTAACCTAAGCCTTTCAAGGCCTAATTAATCCAGATTTATCATATGGCAAATTGAAAAAGTATGTATACATACAAAATTACAATTTCATTTTTTTAGTTCTGATAAACTTAACTTTTTTCAAATTTCATTGCTATACTGATATTTTAAGCCAGTTATGTCTGTTTCAACTATATTCTGGGTAGGATTCTATAGTTGAAACGAAAAGTCGACTTTTCGACTTTTTGCATTTAGTTAAAAGTCGACTTTTCGACCTTTCGACTTTTTCCATTTTATGAAAAGTCGATTTTTCGACTTTTCGGCCTTTTTCATTTATTTAAAAGTCGACTTTTAAACTTTTCGACTTTTAGTATTTTATAAATGGTCGACTTTTTTCGACTTTTTCCGACTTTTCGACTTTTTCCGACTTTTCGACTTTTTTTCGACTTTTTTCGACTTTTTCCGACTTTTCGACTTTTTCCGACTTTTCGACTTTTTGATTTTTTACGACTTTTTGACTATTTTCGATTTATTTCGACTTTTTTTCGACTATTTTTTTACTTTTTTCGAGTTTTTCCGACTATTTTAGAGTTTTTGACCTCTTTTCCACTTTTTTAAAATTTTCGACTCTTTTCGACTTTTCAACTTTTTTCGACTTTTTCCGACTTTTCGACTTTTTTCGACTTTCTTCGATTTTTTTCAACTTATCGACTTTCCGATTTTTGACTTTTCGACTTTTATTTACAAAGTCGACTTTTCGACTTTTCGACAAAATAGTCGACTTCGACTTTTCGACTTTTTTCGACAAAAAGTCGATTGTTCGATTATTCGAAAGTCGATTTATAGAACCCTAATTCTGGGCTGACACTTGTGTGGGGACTAGTTAAATCATCATTCAACAGACAGAAGATCAGACATGGCTAGATTGTCTTAAAATCTAAAAAGGAAATGAGGGTTATATAAATCGTTTTGTTGAAAAAAAATTAAATATCGAAGGTGAATTCTTCTTAATAAAAGTAGTGAAAAGTGAACTAAATTAACAAAAGTCGAAGAGTTACATAGTTAGCAATTTAAAAATTCTAAAAAATCGACTTTGTAATTAAGTGTTTTGTAAACGCCGAAAAGTCGACTTTTCATAAATTACAAAAAATTGACTTTTTCTTTCAAGTAACAAATACTACTCTTTTATACAACTCCTACTTTGCCCATACAACACTGTGTTTAATTAGGAATTTTTTTCTTGACAGACCGCACACACGAGCTGCTGCAGAAAAAAAATATAGAAATTTTGCAAATTTTCTTTTAAAAATTGTAATTTAAAACAAAAAATAAAGCAAAATGACTAACGCCTGGAGAGCCGCTGGAATTACGTAAGTATTTTGTAAATAAATGAAAAGAATCCAAAGTTTTGGCAAAAGTTGCAAACATTACGTAATTTACGTCACAGTCAAAAAGTGTCAAGATGAATGTTTAAATTATGTGAAGAAAATAGTAAATTATTTATATAATTTTCAGCTACATCCAATACTCCAACATCTGCGCTAAAGTTGTGCGTCAAGCCTTGAAATCGGATTTGCGTGCCGAGGCTGCCAAACGTGCCGACAGCCATGTCAAATTCACCCCCTGGACTAACGGCAAACCAGCACGTAAGTATTAGTTCTGATTCCGGAATGAGATTAGAAAAAAATACTTTTTTAGGAAAATTTTAAAAATTAGTTTTATGAAAAACAGTTTTGGTTTTTTTATTTGGTTTTCTTAGAATATAGTAAATTTGCTTTGTATTGTAATTTTATACTTTTTTATTTATTCATTATTTTCTTATGATTAATTTTACAGATGAAAAGTGAAAACTTTAAAATAGACTATTAAGTTTCTATTTTAAAGAACTTTTCTCAAGAAAAAGTAAGCTGAAATATATGTAAAGGCTTGTTTGTTACATACCTACCCTTTTCCAAAATATTGCTTACCTCTTTCATCGTTAACTCAATTTGGATTAAAAATATATTTAATCCCCGTTTAAATTTCATGTTACTTTTAAACAAGTACTAGAAAAAGTTCCAAATTTATATGTTAAATGTCTTGTATTGAGATGATATATCTCTCAAATTAAAATAACTAATAGCATCCCAGATTTGCAGATTTTAAACATCTTCGATTGGACCTTTCTGGAGAAAGGCCTTCCTATGAACATTAACTTAAATCTGCAAATCTGCTTAACATTCTTGAAAAACTATTTACAAACAATAATAAATAACTCAACTTTACATAATGAACATTTTCGTAAATTTTTCGACCTTCCAAATTCCTTTAAATAAAACACCTTAATAATTTATCATCCTAAAAAAATTCCCTAAATGTATGCTTATTTTCCTTAAATGTATTCTTGTTTTCAATGTATTTACAAATTTTGTAATATTTGCTAATAATGTTTTTGATTTTCTTTACAGCAAAACAAGCCGCTGCCGAATAAACATCTAAATTTAAATTTGGTTTTATAATTCCATGAATTCTTAATTTCACCAACACTTTACCAGCAGTTTAAAATTCAATTTTAAAAAATTTGTAAGCTTTAAGCATAAATTGTGAAGTAAAATAAACAAATTATTAAAAAAAAAACATTTAAATATAATGGTTTTATTGAAAATAAATATGTACTTAAGTATGAATATAAACGATAAAATATTTATACAATTTTAGATAAATATTAAAGCTATCCTATCTACTCCTCGTAAAGCATAAGTCGATCTCTTTATCCTGGGCATTAAACAAGTTTCCGCGGCAAATGCTTTAAAGTTTCCGACATTTACTCTAAATATATAGGAATAAAATGTATTATTTTTAACATAAAACAAGTATCATTACTTGACCTAAGATATGTTTTTTTTTTCTTGCAAAGTTGGCCCGCTTAAGTGTTTTCGTTATTACAACAAGAGGCAGTAAACTATAAATCTTCAAGTAAAACATTGAACATTGTTAATAACACATACAAAAATATGTTTAATTTCATTTGCATTTAATACAAAAATTATTGTCCTTAAATATAAAAACTTAACAGCCAGACACGTTTTATCATTTTGCCTTCTAAACAATCAAAGCTAAATTGCATTTAGCTTATTTGCCTGAGTTCTAAGTAATTTCCTTCCCAGTTTCTTTGGATAATAATGACATTCTTCAGAAAATATTCGAATGTATCCTCCATTATAGACAATTATAGTCCTCCACCCCATCAACTTTCATTGCAGTTCTGTATATCCCAAAAATGGTCCCATTTTTTAAGTTCCTCATTTAATAAGTTATAATTTGCTGTGGGCGGTGCAAATATTTTATAGTCTTTCGATAGATGACCTTCATCAATGCCGCTATAATAGATGGAAAATATCATATTAATAAAGCCTTAAAGATAATTTTTAAATTATTTTTCTAATATTTTACCGTGTTATTAGCTTTTGGCAGGCTTTAAATGTTCTTTCGGGAGGCAGTTCTTGTTTAAAATTACCAATTATTGCCACACCTATGGATTTATGATTATAACCAGCGGTGTGATCACCCTCCACACCCCAGCCACGACCTTCGTAAATAGTACCATCACAGCCGATAAGAAAATTATAAATTATATCGTTAAAACCTTGAGCCTCAACATTGAGAGTCTAAAATTAGAATAAAATGGGGTTAAAATAATCGCAGAAGAATTCCGAAAAATGTTTTGAACATTCAAACTTATGTTCGAATGAAGTTGTTACAATAATTCGTAAAGCGCAAGGATTTAAAAAAATATTTTTAATTTATTTAATCACATTTTCTTATATTTTCAAATTTTCGAAAATATAAATTTTAATTTTTTTATTAAAAATATTGTTTTTTAAATTTATCATAATCTGCATTTAATCGGATACTCACTTGATAATCCCTTATTATGCCTATATTTCGAGCTTGTACCGTTGAACTAGTAGTGGCGGTATATCCTTAATATGAAAAAATGATATAAATAAATTAAATTATGAATGAAAATTAAATCTTAAAAAAACAAGTAAGAGAGTAAATATCGTTCACCTATAAGGAAAAGCTTTCACAGAGTATCTGTTTATATACAAAACACATTCGAAAATAATTTTATCTCAAATAATTATTATTTCATAACTTTCCGAAGTTAATTTTATACGGAAGCCGACCCGGAAAAATGTTCATGTTAAATTTTGTACGTATATGCTAATGAATTTCGTTTAATTCATATTCGAAAGTGGACCTTAAATACCTCCCATTTAATGTCTATTATCGTTCGATTCAGGTTTTAGTAAATACCCAATAAACCAAAGAACGATATGATAGCGAAAACGGTATTGCTTTTAAAGGGCGATTATGATATCATATTTCATTATTTAAAACGATATTATTATAATATCGTTTTATATTTTGTTTCCAATAAAAAAATTAAGAAAATACAAACATTTGAAAAAAACTTCAAACATAAAAATAATTTCAATAAAAATTTTCGAACATAAGAAAACTAAAAAGGATATTAAAATAAAATCAACTAAATTATTGATAAATAATCCAAATAAATACGCGAATTTCGTTCGATACTTCAGTTTTGTGGTAAGTTGACATGTATGCAATTTTGAAAAGTTTCAGGTATTTGCAAGACAATGCATAATGTGATGAAAAATATGATTACTTTAAAATATGTATTAATGTATGTATGTAAATATGTACAAATGAATGCAATCCTTCCCTTTTCAGGCTTTTTTATATGTATAATAGCGAAATATTAAGTTAAATAGCGTTTTAAATGAAATTTTAAGAATAAAAGAGCATACAGAAAAAAACTGAAAAATGCGATTTAACTATCATTATTTTTGGAAATTATGATAGCGAAAACGATATCATAATTTTATGGAAAAACGATATCATAAGGAAAGGTACCATTTAGTACGTAAATACTATCGTTCTCGATACGAGAACGACTATCACTTATGATATTTTTTATCATCTAAGTGATATCGTTTCGATATCGTTATAATATCGTTTGGTTTATTGGGTAATACTATTTCTATTGATATTACATATATTTTTATGTGTAAAATTTTGTGGTAAAACCGATATTCTAGAGGGAGTTTTATTGTTAATAAATCCAATTTTCTTGAGTATTTAAATTTGTATTTAAAATTTTAAATCGATTCTAATACTTAATCTCTTGACGTATAGTTTCTGAAAATACTAATCAAGAATAAGGAGAAAACGTAATATTTTCATGGGTTGTTTCAGAATTTTACACATATCTCCGTTATTTCTGAAAGAATTATTGAAAGTTCCGAACTCACGGATAACTGGGCTCTTTTAAAACCTTATTTCAACGTACCTACAGACATCGGAATATATACTTTATAGGGTCGAAAAATTATAGTTTATAAATTACAAACTTATGTTCAAACATTATACCCTTTTCACGTACTGAATGGTATAAAAAACAAAAATACTTTACCAATTGATATAAATTCTACGGGTTCTGGTAATTTATTAGATTCACTTAGAGGATCCATAGCCAGCCAACGATAACGTGGAAATATCAGACAGGCAGGTCTAATAACGGGTGCTAGAATAATGAAGAGTAAGTAATGTATATACGCTACTACACTATAATAAAAGCTTACACTTTTTTGCTGCCGATTCTTGATCCTCCTGAGGTTTCTCTTCGCCATTAATAACATTTATATTTAGAGTTCCATTTACACTGTAAATATTTCCCAAATAAACATTTGACGAATTGCAGATATTAACGTTGTTAAAACTGAGTGCAGGAATCTGTGGCAATAAATTGTTATTGTATTCTTTAATATGATTATGGGAAGACTGGCCCAAGGCCACTTCATCACCAGAGTCAGACGAACTTGATGATTCTATTATACTCGATTCAACTACACTCGGACATGTTGCTTCTATATCGCTTAGCTCAGCATCTTCATTTATATCTATTGAATTTAACCAACTTCTAATTTCGTCACTTTTATTTGCGGGTAGCTTAGACATATTTTTATACAGCACTTGCCTAATTAGCGTGTCGGATACATAAACTAAATCCGCCTATTATCAAATATTTTAGATACTTTTTAATAGTTTATATATTTCAACATATAATATTTATTGAGTTATATCCTCGTGATTATTGATTATTTATAACTTTGTATGTACTTATGAATATTGTTTATCTTATCTACATACGTTTTTATTTTTCAATTGAATTTGTCAAAAATTATAGGTATTTTTAATAATTTTTGTCTTAATTTTTACAATTCTTGACCATCAAAACAATTTTTTCTTTGTTATTCTTCTTTTATTCTATTTATTTTTATGTGATTTTTATTTAATTTTATTTCAGTTTTATATTTCCAGTATTTTCACACTTGCTTTATACAATTTTTAACAATTATTTGTGAAATTTATTTATAAACACTAGTCAAAAACAAAAAAGAAGAAATATAGCATATTTATGAAGTACGAAAAATGTTACAAAGAAAAATGTATAATATAAATATTAGGAGGGTTCAAAATTATTGTTAAAGATACTTTTAGTGAGTTTTTGTACCCTTTATATATAAATTTGTCATTCCGTTTGTAATTTCTACAGTTTTTCGAACATATGTCTATTTAGACATGTCCCTCTTTCTGACTGTCTATCTGACCGTCCGTTTGTTCAAATAAGTTTTGTGAAGACCCTAGATACATATCTGCGAAATCCAAATCTTCAATAGTTCTATCATGTCTTTAAAAAGTTTACTATTTGGTACATATATAACGGAGATATGAGAAAAATTCCGAAACAATCCATGGAAAGATTATGTTTTTTTTTATTCTTGAAGTTGAAAATTTTTAAATCGGTTCAAAATTTCATATAGTTACCATACAAATTTACACATTTCTAGAAATTAGATTTATTTTTAGTAACTTTCTCTGGAATATAGTACATATTACCACAAAATTTTGCACATATAAAACTTAAACTTGGATTGGTCCATAAAAATATTTGGCCTAGGTGTATTTTCTTCGGATTTAATTTAATGTATGTACATATTTAATGTATTCTGCATTTCACTTCGAATCGAAATTTTCTCAGTTTGGTAATTCTGCATTTCGATTCGAAGCTCCGTCACTAAAATAACAACTTACAAAAACGTAGAATTGCTTGTTCATTTCCTTCCGATTCAGTTTTTTGTTAGAATTAGGGTTCTATAAATCGACTTTCGAATAATCGAACAATCGACTTTTTGTCGAAAAAAGTCGAAGTCGACTATTTTGTTCCAAAAAAGTCTATAACTCGACTATCGTCTATGAAAAAAGTCGAAAAGTCGACTTTGTAAATAAAAGTCGAAAAGTCGGAAAGTCGAAAAAAAGTCGAAAAATCGAAAAAAGTCGAAAAGTCGAAAAAAGTCGATAAGTCGAAAAAAGTCGAAAAGTCGGAAAGTCGAAAAAAGTCGAAAAATCGAAAAAAGTCGAAAAGTCGAAAAAAGTCGATAAGTCGAAAAAAGTCGAAAAGTCGGAAAAAGTCGGAAAAAGTCGAAAAGTCGAAAAAAGTCGAAAAGTCGAAAATAGTCGAAAATTTTAAAAAAGTGGAAAAGAGGTCAAAAACTCTAAAATAGTCGGAAAAACTCGAAAAAAGTAAAAAATAGTCGAAAAAAGTCGAAAAAAAAGTCGAAATAAGTCGAAAATAGTCAAAAAGTCGTAAAAAATCGAAAAGTCGAAAAGTCGGAAAAAGTCGAAAAGTTGAAAAAAGTCGGAAAAAGTCGAAAAGTCGAAAAAAGTCGAAAAGTCGAAAAAAGTCGGAAAAAGTCGAAAAGTCGAAAAAAGTCGGAAAAAGTCGAAAAAAAGTCGGAAAAAGTCGAAAAGTCGACCATTTATAAAATACTAAAAGTCGAAAAGTCTAAAAGTCGACTTTTAAATAAATGAAAAAGGTCGAAAAATCGACTTTTCATAAAATGGAAAAAGTCGAAAGGTCGAAAAGTCGACTTTTAACTAAATGCAAAAAGTCGAAAAGTCGACTTTTCGTTTCAACTATAGAACCCTAGTTAGAATACCAATTTTCGATAGTAGCGTAACTGAATACGGAAACGTAATCGAAATGCAGAATATTGGTGATTTAAAATTTGGAATATTCTTGTTTACCAAATAATTATAAAAGGTCTTTCAAATATCTTTCTTTGTGTATGAATACCTATGTAAACATATCGAAAATAGCCTTCGAAATTTATTCAAAATTTTTAAGAAAAAAAAAATAATCTAAAAAATCATTTTCAGAATTTTGTTAATAGCATATCCATGTGGTGGTGTTTCATATAAAAAATATTTACATTTTTATTATTTTAAAAAGTTTACCTTAAATTTGTAGATAACAATAATAAAAATAAAAACTTAAGACTAAAATGTAAAATCATCAATACTAATGGGTTTATTTTTTGAACAACGCATAATTGAAGGGTAGTTTTGCGGGTACTTGATAAGTAGCAAACAATATTCTAAAAAAATTATAAGTTTTTTTTTTAAATTTGTTAAAATATAATATAAGAAATCTATAAAGTTAATGATGGTAATTTTCGAAATCATGTGTCTTATAAAGTTACTGCAAGAAAGTCCCTTCAATTATATTAACTTTTTAAATCATCATGTATATCTTTTGGGTAAAAATTATCCCATTTAGTTATTTCTTCATATAACAATCTTCCGGGACTAACAGTTGCTATGCATTGACGGTGACCCAATAATTTGTAATTATTTTTTAAATGACCTTCCTCGACGCCTCTAAAATATAGAAATTATCTTAATATAAGACCAATTTCAGAAAAATTTATTTATTCATTTACCTTTTAAGTAAATTTTTGCATGCTTCTAAAGCTTTTTGCGAAGGCAAGGAACGCGAGAAGGAACCTATAAAACCAATGCCCAGTGATCTTCTATTATAACCGTATGTGTGAACACCAACAACATTCCAGCCGCGTCCTTCGTAAACATTGCCATCACAACCAATTAGGAAATTATAGCCAATATCATCCCAACCTTGTGCATCGACATGGAAAGTCTAAAAACAAATAATTTTATATTTTTGAATATGGATCCCAAATATCGTATTAAATATGTATGTATATAGTACCTGGATATTTCGTATTAATTGTGTGTTTTCCTGAGAACTCAAAGAACTATCAGTGGCAGTATGAGCTGTAAAATATATGTATTTAATGATTATTCATTACAAAGGATACAAAAATCTATAAAACTTACAAATGATAACTATATCTACGGGTCCGTCAATATATTCAAATTCTTCTGATGGCTCCAAAGTAGACCAATAATTGCGAGGTATTATGCGGCACAAGGAACTATTATCATTTAAGGCTAGAAAAGTAAATAAATTTTATCAAAATTAGTTCTTGTAAAATAAAATCATGTGTACAATGTACATAAAATATGACTTACATTCCTTATTGGCTCGAGGTGATTCCCTGCATTTATGTGACGGATCAATGTTTTCTTCTTGTTTTTCATTATGATTTTTGTTATTTTTATCTTTATTATAAACATTTATATTTAATACTCCCTTAACTTTAATAACATTTCCAAAAACCACATTTGTTGAATTTGAAACACTAACATTATTGTAGGTGGCTAAAGGTGTGATTTGTTCCAATTGTTTTCTTAAAGAATTCGTATTTAATAATTGATTATAAATAGGCAGTTCAGAGATGTTTGTATAACTGTGTGAGTCATTATCGTCTATAAGAAAAAGCAAAAAGGAAAAAATAATTATATTTATGTTTTAAGAAAAAGTATTTTATTATTTAGTCAATTATAATACTACCTTGTGATGCTGAATCCGCTTCTGATGCTGAATCCACTATACTAGATTCTACAATAGAAGATGCCAGTGACTCAGCATCGTCCAATGCTTCACATGCTGGTAATATTTCACTGCTAGCCATTGAAAATTTTTAAATCACAATATATTTTCAATAAAAATTTATTTATTTTTTGTTTTATAATCACTAGCCGCAATTCATTTGCTTAATAAAAGATAACTAAAGGTTAAAATTTAGTTCATGTTATTATTTATCATCGCGGGGATTTTTTTCAATGTTTATGTGTAGTTTACCCGAACGGATTTATCGTCTCAAAGAAATTATCGTTTGTATTTGCTTAATTAATAGTGATGGCAAAATTGTTAAAATATTTATTTAATCGATAATTTATTAAATTTTAGATAGCATATATCTATCTCGAGCAACATACATATTAATACGTATTTATATGAACTTATTTATAACATTTTGCTTTTCGTTATATTCTTAAAATGAACTATAGTAGGGTTCTATAAATCGACTTTCGAATAATCGAACAATCGACTTTTTGTCGAAAAAAGTCGATAAGTCGAAAAAAGTCGAAAAAAGTCGAAAAGTCGAAAAAAGTCGAAAAGTCGGAAAAAGTCGAAAAGTCGAAAAAAGTCGAAAAATCGAAAATAGTCGAAAATTTTAAAAAAGTGGAAAAGAGGTCAAAAACTCTAAAATAGTCGGAAAAACTCGAAAAAAGTAAAAAAATAGTCGCAAAAAAGTCGAAAAAAGTCGAAATAAGTCGAAAATAGTCAAAAAGTCGTAAAAAATCGAAAAGTCGAAAAGTCGGAAAAAGTCGAAAAGTCGAAAAAAGTCGGAAAAAGTCGAAAAGTCGAAAAAAGTCGAAAAAAGTCGAAAAGTCGAAAAAGTCGGAAAATGTCGGAAAAAGTCAAAAAGTCGAAAATTCGGAAAAAGTCGAAAAGTCGGAAAAAGTCGACCATTTATAAAATACTAAAAGTCGAAAAGTCTAAAAGTCGACTTTTAAATAAATGAAAAAGGTCGAAAAGTCGAAAAATCGACTTTTCATAAAATGGAAAAAGTTGAAAGGTCGAAAAGTCGACTTTTAACTAAATGCAAAAAGTCGAAAAGTCGACTTTTCGTTTCAACTATAGAACCCTAAACTATAGGCTATAGCCAATCATAATTGAAAACAACTCCCGTTTTTTACCTTCGCATGAAAGTAAATTCTATTAGTCATCTTCAATAGACATTTTTTCGAGAAGTTAGCTATGTAAAAATCGGGGAAATATGAAATAACCCATTAAAAAATATTATGTTTTTTTCTCGTTTTTTATTCGTTTTTTCAGAAACTGCAACAACTAGTTTTACTTTCATCCAGGGATTAACAAGGTTGAAATCGGTTCAAAATTTCATATAACTTGCATACAAATTTACACACTCCCGGAAAATGGAATTATTGTTAAGAATTTAATCTGGAATATCGGTATTACCAAAAAAATTTGCAAATATATGTGAATCTAATATCAATAGAAATTATAACAAATAATCATCCATATCGGGACAAACGTTAACACGAATTTATGGCGAAAATATTTTCTGGATCGGCCTATAATTGGTCATAGCATACATATAAAAATCAGAAAATTACTTAATCGTAAATAATTTATGGATTAGCGATCAAAATAAAACTCTACAAGAATACGTTTGGAATATACATACATATACAAATCATTCTGAGGCACTTTTATTGATATATTTTTTAAACTTATAAAATGAAAATGTTTGTAAATATTCGATGTGTAAATGAAAAACTATCGTATATGTAAAGGTATTTAAGATTCGGCATTGCTCTCGGACTTTTTATATATGATTCTTTTGCTTTAATATTCAGCCTTTAGCATTATTTATGCAGAATCATGTAATTAGTGTTTATAAGTGAATTTTGACCTTCAAGTCATTTTATGAAGGGGAGTTTTTATACCCTACCCACTATAGTGGTGTAGGGCATGATACAATCATAACCAGCTAGAATCTTTTTTTTTTTTTTGACAATTCAAGGCATGTAAAATTGAGAACGTACTTTTCTACTGATTCTTTATTGTTATGGTTATATTATGGTGTTGGGTATAATAAAAAACTGTTTCCAAATTAATAAAAAATATAAATTTTATTTAAGCAATTAAATTTTTTTTACAAAATATCTTTTCACAATAATGTAAAGAAAAAATTCATAGCAAGAAAAAATTTAAAACAAAAAATAAAACAAAAAAAATCTCTTTTACTTTTTAAACATAACATAGAGAGCAAAGTAACATTCTACTGTTTTTAAAAACTTATTACAAATATTTTAAATGCTAAAAAAGTGTAACAAATATTTTAAATTTGATTAGGTAAATAAATTCTTCATTAGTATTAATCATTCATAATTATTCGTAAAAATATAATTATGTATGTATACTTTATATATTGCAATTCTTCTCATATGTCCTCATCAATAGTTTTATTATAAAAATGATCCCATTTTGTAATTTCTTCAAACAATTTTGTACCGGGACTTTCAGTTTCGGAACACTGACGATGACCCAATAATTTATAATTTTTGGCTAAATGACCTTCATTAATTCCTCTAAAAGAAATAATATAAGAAAAGATTTAAATTAAATTGAAATTAAATCACATCAATGTTTTATGTCCAACCTTTCCAGTAAATTTTTACATGCATTTAATGCTTCCTCTGTGGGCTTTTTATTAATAAAACAACCTATAAATGTAATTCCCACTGATCGGTTATTGTAGCCAAATGTATGGGCACCTTCAATGCCCCATCCACGACCTTCGTAAACTGTACCATCACAGCCAATTAGGAAATTATAGCCTATGTCATTCCAATTGTGGGTGTCAACATGAAAGGCCTATATACATAAATTTCAAACATATTATACTTAAAGAAGAAGAGGTTTAAATTCGATTTTGAAATAGCACCTCTAATCAACACAAAGACAAGTCTTGAGAGTAGAGGTGTTAACATACAAGCATCATTGTAATGAAGTCTCATTAATTTTATTTTGTACTCACCTGTATATCTCTTATTAATTGAATATTTTTCGATTGATTAGTTGAGCTGGTAGTGGCTGTGTGAGCTTTAATAGAAATAATATAAATAATAAATAAAAAATCACTAAATTACATTATTCAACAGTTATAAAATCTATCGGATAATAATTCTTAGGTTATGCCAGTCTTTAAGTAAATGAGCAATATGTAGAAAAAATAGAACCAACAACTTTATAGTTATCAATTACGTTTTTATAAAATTTCAATATTTAACAATACCACTTACAAATTACGACCAATCCAACAGGTTCTTTAATTTTATCATATTCTTCTCTGGGCTTTCTAATTGACCAAAAACTACGCGGAATTATAGGAAAATCTGATATGTGTACATTCGATGCTAAATATAAAATAATAATAAAAAAACGCATTAACAAAACAAAACTAATTAAAGTTTAATTGCAATTTACTTGTTTTAATTAGTACCCCATTATTATTGTCATGTTGAATTAAAGATATTCCGGTTTCATCATTTTGCTTGACAAGATTCAAATACAGATTGCCATCATAATTAATTTTATCGCCTAAATGAACATTTGATGAATCTGTTATGGTTATATTGCTCTTAACGGCCGATGTAGAAAGTTCGAGTAATGTGTCCTGAATGGCGTTCATATCTGGCACCAGTTGACCCTTTGTTGCTGTTGAGGTGTTGCCTTTAAGATTATTTTTTTTTTTTTTTGTTAATATTGTATAGTTAACAAATTGCTTGAATGTTACCTGTAGTTAATATTCCATTGCTTATTTGTTTCTCTTTGTCTGAAGTTTCCACATTGCTAGTGTTGGACACCTTTAATGATAACATTTTTTTCACCATTTCCTTCATTTTGCCCAGAAAATTTCTTTGGAATTATTGCTTAAAAATGTTAAGTTAAAATATTATATTAAACTAAAGATACACTTGTATATTATAATTTTTACAAATTCCGTATTATTTATTATTGAAGACGTTTTGTTATTGTAAACAATACGCAAATATTTTGTATTCTTTCCAATTTACTGCACTGTTTATTGATGCACAGTCCATATATTTATGATTTCATACATCTTGCTATAATATTAAAAATTATTTCTTATTTTTTTCTCAAAACTTTTATTTTCTGCATTTTCTTACAGTATTATTATAATTCTTTTTTCACTATCAGAAAGTAATAAATATAATAAAACAAAGTAACTTTGTGTTCGATAAGTTCTGTAATATAACAATTACATAGTATCTTAGTGTAGTAGTAGGATGTTTGTTTATAAATATTATGGTAAGAGCAAATTCTATACTTTATCACATAAGAATTCTGTAGTCATTTTGTAGTTTGTTTTGTTTTAGTATTCTCAGTTTCGCTTCTAGAAATGATCCATATGCGTTAGGGTGGTTCTTAAATACAAGTTACTAATGTTCCCTACGAAAATGAAAATTTGATTAATTTTATGATATAATTTCACAAATTGTTTTGAATGTTGTTTTCATTATTAAGCCATGATTTGGGATGAACCTTGGTTTCGAATAAATAAAGTTAAAGTTTATGTACCTAGATTGAATTTCGTATTTAGTAGTGAAATTTAATGAGATTTATGATATTTATTTGTTTATTCATTCATTATCACAATACAAATACTTTTTCATTTTAGTTTATCAATCACATTTAATAAATCCAGCTTAAAAATTATTAAATTAAAATTATAAAAATTTCAATACATTTGAACTAGTACTAAAAATTTTGATGAGATCAGTTCATTATTTTTATCCATAAAAGACGGGACCGCCCTAATATGATCGATTATGACAGTCGTTGTCAAAGTAGTATATAACAATTAGCAGAGTCGAACTAATCGTTACCATGGCACATTATTTCGTACATTAATAGGTACTAGGGTGATCGATTATTCGACATTTTCCAAAAACCGGTTTTCGAATAGTTCGAATAGTTGACATTTAAAAAAAACCGGTTGATATTTTTCAAATTCAGAAAAAACCGGTTAACCGGTTTTTCATTATAAATAAAAAAATATATTTTAATTTGAAAAAATTAATGTTTATGTTTAAATTTGATTATTAAAACATGGCCTGAAATGATTTTTAACAGTTTAAAAGATTATAACTTTAGATCTAGTCGTCTGATTTATATTATTTCTTTAATATAAAAAAAAATTAGGAAAAAAGTCCTAGCTTATTATAAAAGCCCAGTTTAGAAAATTTGCATAGGCATTCCAACACTTCCATAAAATTTCAGCCGTAAATGAATTATTGTAATTGGAATATAATCTTAAAATTGATAAAATTTTATAAAACAGTTATCAATTTTACAAATAATTTTTTTTAATTAATTAGGAAAATCAAAAAAGTTTAACCAAAGGAGCTTTAGAAAAATATACGATAGTTCCTCAACTCGAATATTTTTAAAATTTAGACGGGCTCTATTATGATTTACTTAAAAATTTCATTTAAATAATCTTTGAATACAAAGCAAATAAAAGTATTCGAAACCGGTTTTTAAAAAGTGAAAAAACCGGGTTATTCGATATTCGAAAAATCAACATTAAGAAAAAACCGACACTGGTAAAGCAGAAAAAACCGGTTTTAACACCGGTTGAAAAATCGAGTCGATCACCCTAATAGGTACATACCAAAGTACATTTGTTTTCGAAAAATGCAATAAAAATAAAAAAAATCAATTTTTAAATTTTTGCATTTTTAAACTGGAATTTACACTATAAGAAATATGCTGCGAAATTTTTGGATTGGAATTAGTTTGGTTATTCATTCTGAAATTTAAAATGAGTGTACCATTGTACCTTTGAAAATGGAATTGTGCCATAAAAGGACAAGTGTAGCAATTTTGCCAACCCTGGTACTCGGTAAAACGGTTTAAACAAACCAAGAATTCTAATATCACTAACTCTGCTACTGTGTATAATTCACTATTGTTAAAATTTTCTCAAAAATATCGCTAAAAAATAGCTGAAAATAGTTCAATTAAAAAAAATAATTGGATATTTTTTGGGTTCGATTTCTTCTTTTTGCAATATTGTAAATCTCATCTATATAACTCATGAGTTCAGAAGAAGTAAATTAGGGAAACTTAACAAAGTTCCTATATGCCATTTCATTCAACTTATGGTGAGTTAGATTTAAATTTACCAGCTTTTTCAGTATGTGTATTTTATATACATACATATATATCTATAAATATGGTAATTTTAAATTAATTTAAAATCCAAAGAAAAATCGAAAATATATCTCGCTAATAAGCTAAATAATTTTTCTCGTAAAATGATATCAAAAATCACTTGGATAGACGAGAAAATAGCTAAGTTGGCAACAGTGCTGTGAATGATTTTTTTTTTAATTTAGTTGAATTAGAAATTAAAACATGACTGTAGGTGTTTTTTGATTTTTAGATAAATTAACAAATTTTACGTTTTTAAAAATAAATACAGCAGTGTAAACAAATAAACTAATAAAGTAATGAGTGAATTGTCGCAGGGATATCAACCGACGTCATCGCGTTTGGAAGATAGCAGTAGTAGTGGCGATGAAGATACAGATATGCATGAATCTGAACAATACCAGCAGTACGGCAATCAAACTCAATCAAGACAGGATGATTTAAAACAAATAGACATAGGCGAACTTGAACAGCCAAGAGGTAGTGCCGCGCCAGCACAACAACAGGAAGATGACAATGAACTCGAATGGAGAGAGGAAACAGAAGAACATTCTGAAACACAACAACAACAGGATGGTAATATGAAAGTGGTGGCTTCACATTACAATGAACTGAAAGAAGCTGGCCGGAAAGAACGTTTTAAATCTCGTATATTTCATATGAGAAATTTTAATAATTGGATAAAGTCCCAATTGATATCGGAATATTTAAAACGCATACATGAAAATCAACGCATGGGAGAGCCTATGCGTGTGCTAGATATGTGCTGCGGTAAAGGTGGAGATTTACTTAAATGGGAAAAGGCTATGATCACCTATCTCATTTGTACCGATATAGCAGAAGTTTCCGTTGAACAGTGTAAAAAACGCTATGAGGACATCTGTCGAAGAGCTGAGAAATCGAAATTTCCTCACAAATTTGAAGCAGAATTCTTTGCATGCGATTCTACTTTAGTTAGATTGAGGGAACGGTTTAAGGACCCTTCGTTAAAACTTAATTTGGTTTCTTGTCAGTTTGCCTTTCACTATTCCTTTGAGTCACTTACTCAAGCCGAGTGCATGGTACGCAATGCAGCTGAATGTCTGCAACCTGGTGGTTTCTTCATCGCAACTATGCCCGATGCTTATGAGCTAATGAAGCGTTTAAGAGCCTCTAGCGATGGCCGCAGTTTTGGCAATGAAGTTTATAATATCGAATTTGTTTGCGACACCAATCCACCACCCTTGTTTGGTGCAAAATATCAATTTCATTTAGAGGGTGTTGTTGACTGTCCAGAATTTTTGGTGCATTTTCCCACGTTAGTTAAACTGTGCCGTAAGTACGGTTTGAAATTGGACAGAAAGACTACTTTCGCCGATTACTATAAGGAAAATATTGAAAAAGGTATTTTAGTTTTTGCAGTTTTAATGAATATTGTTTTCAGTTTTAATATACATTTATTTTATATTATAGGTCGTGGCCTGTTGCAACGTATGAATTGCTTAGATACTGTGTATGCCAATCGTGTTGGTAATGATGAACAATATGCCCACCTCAAACGTTATATGAAGAGTAATTCTGGACGACCATATGGTTCATTGACAAAATGTGAATGGGAAGCAGCAAGTAAGTTTACTGTAAATTTCTGTCTACCTTAACTTCTACTTGTACCTATTTACCTGTCATCAATCTATTTTATTTATCTAATTTTACATAATTAAATATTTATTTTTAAATTTTTTTAGCAATTTATCTAGTCTGCGCTTTTCGTAAATGTAAAAATACTTGGGATGCTCAAGGTAAACCGGTATTTGAATTTGATGATTGACATCCTGTAGCTGCCTATTAATTCAAAAGCCTTAAAAATACATTAAAAGAACCCCACAAATAAAAAACAACAGCATATTAAGAAAACATCATTTTTTTTGTTAATAAAATACCTTTAAAACATAAAAAGTCTACTCTTTATTTCAAAATAATTATTTTTAAAGAAAGCTTATAATTTTAAAATTAACATTTTGTTTACTTAAATTTATAAAATGAAGAAATTTTATTACAACAATATCAAATAGTATCATTTAGTAATTTCAAACCAATTTTCTTTTTGTAAAATGGATTAATAGGACTTGGCATTGCATTGGGTTTTAACAATCCCTTGCCGGGTTTCTTTTTAGCATCATAGGGTATATTCGGTGAACTTTTAATTTGTTGTATATATTCAAGAGGATTTTGGGATGTATTATGTTTTAATGCAATCTTGACACGTTTGTTGCTGCCGGGAGTTTTTGGAGTATTTGTCGCCGAAAAAGATGTCTTCTTGCTGTTAACAGGTGTAGATTGGTTGTCCGCTAAACGTTGTTTTGCCAATGGATTTAGCACTAAGTCCGCATTTGCTTTTTTTACTTGTAATTTACGGGAGGGCAAAAAATATTCTACATCACCTTCACCCAATGGCTCGTCCCATTCGTTTGTAGGATTCTTTTTTGATTTTGGCGTAATCTGTTCGTCAGCATCTGATATTTTTAAGACCTTTGATTCTTTTGGTTTAGATTTTGGAGTGGATTGTTCTTGGGGATCAGATATTTTTAAGACCTTTGGCTTGTTGGCCTTGTTTACGACATCATTGTTGTTGTTCTCCTCTGCCAACTCGGTTTTATTCTTGTTTGATTTTTTATTTATTTTGACAGGGGTATCATCGTTTACAGACTTTTCCAGTTTTTTTGACTTTTTAACAGGTTCAACAGAGTCTTCGATTTCAGAATTTTGTTGTTTCAACTTATTCTTATTATTTTGGATGTTTTGACCTTGCCCTGCCACATTTTCATTGTTATTTAAGGATTCCTTTTTAGCTTTTTTGGGTTTCAAATCCTCTTCGTCTAGTTCCTCTTCTACCCAAGCAGACATAAAAGATTTTTGTGACCTCTTTCTACGCTCCTTAAGATAGTCTTTTGGCAAAGCTCTTTCTAAACTTTGCTCATAATTACTTTCGTCAATATCATCAAAGTTTAATGATTTCAAAAACTTTCTCCTTTTACGTTTGGTCATTTGTTTCAGTTTCCTATCAACACCATACAATTCATTTTCCAAATTATCCAATTGTTTTATTTTTTCCTTAATTAGAGGCTTTTCTGATTTGCCCTCAAATCGTGGCATGGTTTTAATGCCCAAAGGGAATTCACCATTTTGGTAAGTTTTAAATAAATCCAATAGTTTTTTAAGTATTTTCCTACGTCTTGTGGCACATTCCTCCTTATAAAGAAAGTGTTCAGTTTCCTTAATAACTGGTTCAGCATCCAAAGGTAACTCCGGCATAAAAACGTCCACATTGCCAGCACGTGGATCTAAATGTTTATTACCAGTATTGCTTTCAACGGGTTCTGCTTCAACATTGTCTTCATGTTCTGATTCTTCTACTTTCTCTAAATCATCGATATGTTTTGTGGGAAAACCCATTTCTTTCCAGGCATTATATTTCTCACTGTATTCTCTACCCAAACCACTTTGGTAAAGTAAATGATAAAATACTCTGGTACGGCAGTGAGATATTAAGTTAAAATCTCTTTGCGTGGCCATAAACTTTACAAATGGTTTGACAAACACGCCAACTTGTTCCGCTGAAATGTTTCCATCAGAAACTTTAGCCAATTCCTCGAAGAATATATCAAAATAGTGCATAGTTAAACCCTTTGCGGATACATTCTCAAATAGTACTGTTTCAGTTGCATGTTTATTAAACACTTCCAATGCTTCTAAACTCCATTCAGAATTTTTCAACAACTTAAACATGTAACGTAACATACGCCTGGCCAACATCAAAAATTTATCAATTCGCCACTGATCGATACCAAACCATTCTATGCACATTGTTTTCAAAAATGCTCCGAAGAAGTCAACGCTATATTGTAGGTTACCCTCAAAACATTCCAAAAGTCTGCCAAGTTGCTCGGCAAGTTCTTCTTGAACCAAAGGTTTATCGGAGTACCACATATTGTAATAGAGCCCTTTCCAAATTCTCATAAAATCTTCTTGATTAAAGGGAAAAGACGATTTCGTTCTTAGCTGTAGCCATTTGCGTAATTTTTTCATTTGTCTATTCCTTTGCGTCAAATCATTGCACGCCAACGACTTGACGATTTGTACTTCTTGGGCTATGATTTGTATATCATCTGGCACTATATCATCTCCATCTTCGCCCTCTGCACCATTTTCATCGTCGTTTATTTCTTCAACTTCCATTTGTTTTTCTTCTTTCTTTTGAAAAGATGAATTGTGTTTGATTTTTTTAACGGGTGCCATTACTACCATTCTCTATTTTTTATTTGTTCTTTATATATAAACACTTTATTTTCAAATAAAATTTTTATAATTTTATAAACTTTAGCGTTAACACGTGTTTAAGTAAATTTTGCCGTGTTCTTCTTTGCGACGAATGTTAACAATCAATAAAAACTCAAATGAAAGCTGCCAGATTTTATGAGTCTCTACTAAAATAAACAAAGTGACAACATAGCGTTTTATTTAAACTTTCGATGTGTATTTTAAATTGTATCATAAATGCTGTGGGTGAATTTTGGAATTTTTTTAATTTTGGGGCAATATATATTTTATTATCTTTTTAATGAGAAATACATATCTTCAAAAAAGAAGAGTCATAAGAAATAATTGTTTATTTTGTAATAGTAATAAAAATTCCCATTTTTGAACTTTTTTCAATATACATATTTAAAATATTTCGATCTATACAAAATTGTTAAATTTTAAGATCCTTAAAACTAACCTTTATAAAGATTAAACATTGAAAATTTTTTTGTGTATTAAATTTTAATTATTATTATTACTTTTATTTCATTAGTTTATATATGTATAAAATACGTTGATTTAATTGTAATTAATATTAAAACGTTTATTGGGAATTTTTCTTAAAATTATACATAATAATATTAATAATAACGGATTTCCTATTATCTATAATATGGCATCATGGTCATCAGCTGTTTACATACATTTTTTATCTACCACGTTTGTTTTGTTTACTATTTCTCCATTGAATCTGAAATTTTCAATGAGGTTTATACAAAAAGTATTTAATATTCTGAATAAAAGAGCCAATAATACACGTTTTATAAATACATTCGCTTCAATGGCCTGCAGTCGATATGAATACGTTAAAGGATATGAAAAAGATGATAGTATTTTACCCAATGTTTGGATAGTTGTACGAGTGGATGGCAAAGGTTTTCACAAATTTTCCAAAATTCATGACTTTGAAAAGCCAAATGATGAAAATGGTATGTTTTTATAATTTTTAATTGATTTTTTAATCTAAGTTCATTATTATTTTTAATTTTTAGCGTTAAATCTAATGAACAATGCCGCTCAAACAGTAATGGAAGAATTTCGTGATATTGTTATCTCCTATGGACAAAGTGATGAATATTCATTTGTTTTTCGCAAAGAAACGAATGTATTTAATAGAAGATTATCAAAATTATTATCATACGTAACTAGTCTATTTACCTCCTCATACGTTTTGAATTGGTCTAACTGGATGGGCGAGAAGAAATTACAATATCCACCCTGCTTCGATGGCCGCGTTGTTTTGTATCCATCTGATCAAAATCTAAGAGATTATTTAAGTTGGCGTCAAGCCGATGTACACATCAATAATTTGTACAATACCGCATTTTGGAATTTAGTCCTTAAGAGTGGTCTTACTAATCAAGAGGCTGAAGCCGAATTACGCGGCACATTTTCGGCTGATAAAAATGAAATTCTATTTACGAAATTTGGTATAAATTATAATACCCTACCGGCAATGTTTAGAAAAGGTACTATATTGTTAAGAAAAAAGGTTACATTTGGGGAAAACTTATCGAATAAGAGACAATTAATTGTGCCCATACATGAAGATATGATTAGGGATAAATTTTGGAAACAACACACCGAATTATTGGGCAAATATGTGCCGGGAGAATATGAGAGTATAAAGGATGTTTTAGATTATCCAGAATTAATAACGAGACAAATAGAAATGTTGTCGTTGAAAGATAGTTGATACCTTTTTTGTTTGTAAAGTGTAATAAATTTAGGTACAAAGTCTTGTAGTAAATGAGAGATATGTTTGTACCTATTTAGGTATTTTCCGTACGATTTTATAAAAATAAATAATGTATCTATTGACAAAAGTTCTTTATGTATTATTAAAATTAGTTAATTGATAAAACAAAAATTCATAAATATTACAAAAAAATAGTTATGTACTATTTTTTACAAATATGTATAAGTGAGATATTACCAAAAGCTTGGAAAGAATGAATTATATTTGGAATTTATTCCCTTAAACTTTTAATTCGGCATAAAATTTTTGAATGTACCATTCTTTAAAATCGTTCTTTGAATTTAAATTCTAAAGCTGAATTCCTTGGCTTTATAATCCATTAAATTAATTCCTAAGAGAATTCATTCTATATAAGAATGAATTCAATTGAATTATCATTCTTATTTGCTTAATTCCTTCTATTACGAATTGAGTGAAAGAAAAAATGTTTAATTCAATTTTAAATATACAGAATGCTTTTGAATTATAAAACAAAACTTTCATTCAATCTATTTCATTAACTGAATGGTAGTACATTTTTAAAATTCAATTTGTAATATATTGAATTAAAATAAAATTTTTATCATTCAGAGGGAATTTAAAAATCAATAGGAATTGTTGAAATTTATTTTAATTCAATTTGTAATAGATCGAATGCATACAAAATTAATTCATTTAGAAGGAATTTAACATTCTAGAGGAATTAATTCATTCGAGAATTAATTCAAATACATCAAAAGTTTTAAGAATTAATTCTATGAATTAAATCAAACGGAATGAGTTTGAAGAATTTTGGAATTGAAGAATTTCAAATAAAGAATTAGAGAATGAATTATTTTAGAGCTTCGGATATAACAAACTGAATCCAATTTATTACCCATTTTTGACCGACACTTTATTAACTAAGGTAATTCCAATTTAATTTTCAAAAAAAAATAATATAATAAAAAATAAGTTTTATTTAAGGCTTTTATATTACTTTGTTTGAATAAATAAATAAAAATAAATAAGTTTTAATTTCAATGAACTATCGTTATTCATAGGCAATATTTATTACTGGGCCGTATTTTAAAAGTAACATAAATTATAAAATATTGTATATTTTTAAAAAATATATATTAATATTGTTGAAAAATTTGAAAACACAGCTAAAAACTTAGCCGGCTCAAAGATGTTTTTAGGCCGCCGGCGGAATTTTTAGTGTAAACCGGCGACGTTAATGTTTGTCGGCGCAGTTCTTTGTTCCAAGTCCTTTGCACTAAGGTTTTCTTTGTTAATATCTACAGATAATTAAAACTAAGAACTTTTCTATTAGCTTTAAAGTATTAAAAACTTGTGCCGCTTTTAATTTCTATTCACATAAACAATATACAGGAAGTATTATGCCTGGTTACCATGATCCTATTCAGCATCATCGTCGTCTAAGTTCTTTTTCCTTGGATGCCATAGAGGAATATTTTGCCCAACTGAATCCGATTGCCAAACGTATTGCCTACGATATTAATGACACCAAAGCTAACTATGGCCAACTGTGGGAGACTTTAGACTATCATGAACAGAACGATATAATAAATGATACTTTGATTAAGCCGGAAATTTCCTTACGGTACTTTGATAATTTTCTAACACCCACACCAACTAACTCTTCGGGAAATAGTTATCAATCATCAACGGATTCGTTGACAGCCATAGTACTAAAGGATGTGGGGGCAGCTAGAGATTCTATGGGGAATCGGGAGGAGGAAGGAGACAAGAAAAAAATGTCCACCCTTAAACCATATGGTGGAAAATTTAGCCCGCATGGTGTGAAAAATTTTTACTCTTATGATGGACGTAATTTGTATACTTTTGGTATGCAAAAAGTTGCACTTAAAGTTATACAGGATGACGCTTTAGGTTGTTTTCGCGACGAACATTCACGTCCATTTTGTTATAGAACAAAATCTCAAATTAATTTGTTTGTCTTACAACCGTCGGCAGAAACAAAGGCAGCTCGAAAAGCAATTGCACCCCCCAGTAAGATATTAACAGCGCCAATAAAGTCCATGGCTTTAAAAACACGTGAAGAGAGCTCACCCCAAGATGAGGAATCGAAAAAAGCTTTGGATAATTATCATCGTTTGCAACATCAATTGAAAATGAATCTTAACGAAAAGAAATCTCAAGATTTACAAAAATCATCATCATCAACTTATATATCCATTAAACCCAGTAGTATTACAGCTAATCGTAAAATTATTAAATCTCCCGACACTTCTTATAAATTAGAAAGTAAGGATAACACAGCTACAACAAATTCGAAGAATGCTAAGTCTTCATTGCTGCAAAATTACCTAAATTCAACACAAATTAATGCAACACCAAAGATAGGAGTTAACTATGCAGTTTTCTCTGATGCTTACAACACAGCTGAGGAAAGTTCCAATTTATTGCAGCATTGCGGTCAAAGCGATCTAGCTACAGCTTCTTGCTCTTCGGCAGCTACGTCGGATGACGATGAAAAAACTTTAGAAGCAGAGGATGTTCATCTTCTTGACAATGATTCAAACATACGCAAAGGATTTGATTTTCTTAATAATTGGTAAAATTAATATTCAAATGGCTGCTTAGAGATGATTAACTAATAATTGCTGCTTTATAGTAAACTAGAAGATAAAACACTACTGACCCCTTTTTCCAAAAAATTTTGATATTCATATAATACGAAAAAAAAGACCCAGCGACATAATTCTATAATAATAGACTGAACTGATTTTTTAAATAATAAAGAAAATAAAATATGAAACTAATATACTAAAACTAATATAAACAAATATTTAGATTCCCTAAAAAGTAAACTTGAATCGTTCCGTACAATTTCAAAATACCTGGTGATTACTTCTTCTAATCATAAATTACTGGAACTTTTTCCCAATATAAAATAACGATATTCGATTATATACAAATGTTTTATTTTTGGTAATCGAATATACTACACATACATAGTTTTATTCGAAGTTTACAAAATAAATTATTTCAATTCAAAAATAATTATATTCTAAAAAATCTTAAAATTACATCCTTATTTATTATAATTATGGGTTATTAATATTCGTCATCGTCTTCATCATCTTCTTCTGCCCCTGCTGCACGCATTTGTCTGGCACTCTGCTGTATCGCCGATGCTTGCATGCTAATCCACTGTTGTTGCTCCTCTTGTGCCTGTTCTTCGCGTGCTTTTTCAAACAGCTCCTGTTGTTGTCTTAACAATTCTTCCTCTGGAATGCCCAAATTTTCCAAACGTGTGCTTTGTCTGCGTCTCTTAGCAGCAACTTCTTTGCAATCATTGAGAACGGCCTCGGCTTCCTGTTTATAGTCGCGAAATCCCAAACGATCCAAAGCCTCTAGGACATGTTCTGCATTTATAGTTTTTTTATTACGCAAATTGCAGACTTCATTGGCCTCAGAGCTTATGAGGTGGATAAATTCTGAACAGCAATTAAGCAGTAGCTCACGACTTTCGTTGGCCACTCGCACGGAAGGCACAAGTTCTTTGATGATTTTATTGATGCTTGCGCGTGGTAATGTTAATTCATCATCTTCAGTAGGTGGAGGACACAGCTCGTCTTGTGGATTACTCATTATTTGAGAAAAATATGTATAAAATGTATTGCCAAAATTTGTAAGTTACAAATTGGTGGAGATAAATAAAAATAGCCACAAAAACACAAACAAACCCTAAATGACATATACACACATATTTAAACATATATCCATATGTAAATATGTCAATTAACGGTGTAAAAACGGCTGAAAGCAAATAAGCAGAGTTGTAAAAGATACGAAAAAATACAACCAAAAGAGAAAAATACCGCTAGTCCAACTGTCATCATAAAAAAAGTAGTTGCCAACAAGAAATAATCGATTGCTGCCACAATTTTTGCAATATCTCGGAAAAATTAAGGTAAATTAAATATATTATTGTTTTTGCACAATGTTTTGCATCATTATAATGTGGAGGTTTAGAAATATTTATAAATTTTTCTTAACAAATGTAATTTTTATTGTATAATCAACCGGCTTTTGACGTTTTGTGTTGTTTTTGCAAATTGTATTATGACTTTATAATTTTCATTCTGGCAATTCTATTCACACTTACATAAGAGGACCTAGCCTCTGTCACTGTTTCAGTCGTGTCGTGAAAAATTCTGGTAAAAATTTCTTCTATCGGTTTTGCATAATCATTTTTTTTTTTTTTATTTTGTAATTGTGTAAAAATTTTTGACAAGTGTTTTGAATTTATTTTATTGCATTTTTAGATAATTGCACGGAACTCTTGAGCAATCAATCAATATGTTTATGCAACGTGCTTCAACCATTTTGGTCCCCTTGGCCGTTGAGGCTACTTTACAGGCCCAACAACAGCGTGGTATGGCTACTCTTAAAGCCATTTCCATCCGTCTAAAGTCTGTAAAGAATATTCAGAAAATTACGCAATCCATGAAGATGGTGTCAGCTGCCAAATACTCTCGTGCCGAACGTGAGTTGAAAGCTGCTCGCCCTTATGGTGTCGGTGCTCAACAGTTCTTCGAGAAGACTGAAATCAAGCCCGACGAGAAGGCTGAACCCAAAAAGTTGATGATCGCCATGACCTCCGATCGTGGTTTGTGCGGCGCTGTCCACACTGGTGTTGCCCGTTACATTCGCGGTGAATTGGCCAAGGATGAATCCAACATTAAGATCATTTGCGTCGGCGACAAGTCCCGTGGTATCTTGTCCCGCTTGTACGGCAAAAACATCTTGATGGTTGCCAACGAAGTCGGCCGTTTGCCTCCCACCTTCTTGGATGCCTCTCGCATTGCTCATGAAGTTCTTAAGTGCGGTTATGAATTCACCGAGGGACAAATCGTCTACAACCGCTTCAAATCGGTCGTCTCATACCAATGCACCCAATTGCCCATCTTCAGTGCTCCCGTCGTAGAAAAGTCCGACAAATTGGCCGTCTACGATTCCTTGGACGCTGATGTTGTTCAAAGCTATTTGGAATATTCTTTGGCTTCACTCATCTTCTACACCATGAAGGAAGGTGCTTGCTCCGAACAATCTTCCCGTATGACTGCCATGGACAACGCCTCCAAGAACGCCGGTGAAATGATTGAGAAATTGACCTTGACATTCAACCGTACCAGACAGGCTGTCATTACCCGTGAGTTGATTGAAATCATCTCTGGTGCTGCCGCTTTGGATTAAACATCCCACACTACCGCTGCCAGCCATAGGCTGCAAAAAACGACTTTAACAAAAAACACAGAAGAAAAACAAACGAATTAAAAATTCGAAATTCAACAGCAAATTGTCGTTGCATTCAAGTTAATGTTTAGATTTAATTATTACCACACATCTTCAAAAAAATCCATAATAAAAAACACTCTATTAAGAGTTTTAAAATGAAATCTAAGTATGATTAAAGTTTAATAAAGAGAACATGAAATGTAATCTATTAAAAAATATACATAATAATGTTTACTTGTACGCATTATTCAATATCAAAGAATATGCATAAATATCTATAGAATCCTAAATATAAGTTGCGTCAGGTATTTTTTAATTTCATTATTCTGAAGATATAGAAGCAAAGCAGGTATTCTCCCCTTATGTCATCTAATTCTAAAGTTGCTTCGATTTTTACTTTGTTTTCCAAGGCCGAATGGGTTAAATTTCGCGTATATAAATGCTCTTAATGACAATTTATTTAATTTTTCGGAGTTATTTTAAAAATTAAATTTTTTTTAATTCTTAAGAATTGTGAAGCTGATTCCGAATCTGATATCTGTTTTTCTGTATCACCAACCATTTCTCACAAAGTGGCATCGAATATTTTGTTCATATATTATGGACATTTAACATAATTATAAAAATATATTTAAGGCTTAATTAAGATTTTTTCGATTCATCGTCTTCATTTTTTATTCCGAATGGAATAGAATTCGAGCGATTTGAAATCGACCGATTTGAAAAGGTAAGATGAATTTCGATCGAGGAATGGTTTATTATTTTCATGCGATATACTGCACAGACAACAAAATACTTTCCATTTAAGAGAATCAATTAAACAATATGATAAATTGTATGAAAAACCGCCGAAATTTAATGTTAAGTAATAGATATCGACCTAATTTCTATGTTATTCCCTTCTTTCTTGTTTATAAGTCACATGGAGGGTGTTTTAAAATTTTACAATTTGCATAACAAAATTGTGAAAAGTTTGAAACTGGAGTTTTTAAACTGCCGCCTGAAAGGTTTCCCATCTAATGAAGATAATCCTTTCTGTTCTTTAAAACGAATCTGAGTAAATTTCTCGTTTAAAAACAATTTCTCATAATTCTTCTCGTTTTAAAATCGAGTACACAAATCTAGTCGAAAGTAAATCGGTTTTGAAACCGAATCGATTTACAGAACAGACATGAATAGCTTACATTTAACTTAATACGAAAATATATTTAGAATATTTCCCAAAATTGTTTTTTTTTATATTTTTCAGTTTTGTGAAAATCGGAAGAATTTATAATTTCTTTTTTAATTTTTAACCGATTTTTATCTATTATATGTTATTGGAATGATAATTGCATACATATTCCAATTATTTGCAGTTAAATCCAAAAGATAATTTTAGTGCCAACATTTTCAATCGTTTCCCCCTTCATAACTTTAAAATAGGCTGTAGATCCTTAAATAAAAAAATTCCAGTTGAGAAAATGTCTGATCATCCATAATTGTAACAAAAAATTAATATTTATAAGAAAAATCTAAAATTGATCCTTGAATGACGCTCCAATTAAGAAAACAGTGAAAATCTCTGATCAATCATATTTTCCATAAAAATTAATTTTTGTATGAATAACTTCAAATCCTCAAATAATAAAAAAATGAAATCTGTGAAAAACCTCAGATAGATCCTTATATATTGAACATCTATGATCAGTCATATTTTCGATCAAAAGTATTTTTTACATTAATAACCTAAAACCCGCTGTAGATCCTTAAATAATGATCCAAAGGTCCAAAAAAAAGCGAAAACCTGTGATCATTTATATTTTCAATAAAAAAAAAAATTTTGTACGAAAAACCTAAACTCTCCTGTAGATCTGGAAATAACCTTCCAATTGAGAAAATAGTAAAAATCTATGATCACTCATATTTTCTATCAAAAATTTATTTTTGTACAAAAAATCTAAAATCGAATGTAGATTCTTAAATAATGCTCAAATTGAGAAAATAGTTAAAATTTGTGATCCCCCTTATTTCCCATCAAAAACCGATTTTTACGTGAAAACCCTAAAATCAGCGGTATACCCTTAAATAGTGCTCCAACTGAGAAGATAGTGAAATCCTGTGATCATAAATGACGATTCAATTAAGAAAATTAGGAAAAACTGTGATCTATTATATAAACCTAAAATCGGCAAAAGGAGGCTCCCAGTGAGAAAACTGAATTTTTATATAATATTTAATTGATATTGTAACATTTTATTTGAGAAAATTGCTAATATCTGCGATCACAAATAATTTGCATAAAAACGAATGTTTATATTTAAAACCTAAATACCGATCCAATTGATAAAATAGTGAAGATCTAAGATCACTTAACTTTTCCAACCAAAATGCCTTTTTATAAAAAAATTAAATATCCTTAAATAACGTTCAAATTTATATAAAGCGAAAATCTGTGATCACCCATAATTTCTGTTTAAAATTAACTTTTACATGAACAATCTAAAACATATACATTAGACCGACTCATAAAATATGATGCTTGAGTTACCGCCTTCAAAATATTCGTTGCTATGTAACATGATGTTACCCAAAATATTTTGGGTTTAGTGTTGTCCGTTTGAGATCTGGACAGTTTTCAAGAAAATATCCTATGGGGGATATGATTTTTCATGTTCAATTAAAAATTTTACCCGGCTTCAAAAAATCTTTGTTTTGTTTTATGATGGTTCCCAAAATATTGTCTATCGTTGGAAAAAAAGGACCTCTTCAGTTATTTTTTTGGAAAATTGTGCATAAATTTAACTTATATTAATGAAAAACCAAACAATTTTACATTTTTTGGAATATGAAAATTATGAGCAGGCGGGTTTTTATGATACATACATCATTGGACGCGGCTTTAAAACCCATATTGAATATATTGCTTCAAAACAAAACTTAAATTTTAAAAAAATAATTCAAAAATACCTTTTTTAAATTTGGTCCAGCTCACGAACGGCCATCGGTAGACTTAAATTTTTTTGGGAATCATCATAAAACAAAGCAAGGTAAATTTTGAGAGGGGTAACAAAAACAAGTTTTTGCTTTCCGTACAGAGTGAGTCGATCTAATATACATACATAGATCCATCGTTGCCAATTTAGCGCTTTTGGCGCTAGATTTAGCGCCTTTTAACAATCCAAAAGTCGCATTTTTTCCTCTTAGCGATTTTTTGGAAAAAGGCGCTAAATTAGCCCTTTTTTCAAGACATTAAAAATCTTTTTAATAACATAAAATTATTCTAGTTTAACAATAAAGATAAAACAGAATAATTTTAGATAGTACTATGCTCAATAACAGCTTTTTATTGATTAGAAAATTCTATAAAAAATTCACAACAAGGGAATTTTTTCATGTCAAAAAAGGGAAAAGTTGTAAATTAACTTAATTTTAGTTAGGTTAACTTGAATTTTCGTGAAAACTATTGATATTTTAATGCGAATAATACAAAAATAATTTTGATCGCACAAAGTTTGATTCACAAAAATTTAGCATTATTTTTTTATAACTTCACTGTGAAGGAAACAATTCCTTGACGATTACTTCAGTTTTTTTCACAAAGTTTTGGCTCTTGGTATTTTTGGAAATGAAGAGTTGAATTAAAATTTATTATGGCGAATTTCAAAAAATCTCTTTGACTAGTTATTGAGATCTTGATCGATGATAGCAATTAGTCATTGAATAAGAAATCGAACATATTTGTATTAACCTTAATTTTTTAAATTTCGTTCCCGAATCAAAATT